CGCCAACACCCAGGACCATTACAAGCGTTCATCTCCCACATTGGAGGCCAGGAAGTCCGTACTACTCCTTGCAGCTAGGTTGAAGGTTGCATTCGAGGATCTTGGTGTTGACATTGTTGACATCAATCAAGGATTCCAAACATGGCTCACATTTACCGCGTCTTCGTTGATTTCAAATGCATCGTTGGCGTATGGGGAGCACTTGATGAAATCTCTATCTCACATGGGAGGAGTCAGAATTTCGAAGAGGCAAGCTCTGGAAATTTTCCGGAACGGACGCGGCAAGCAATTCAGCATATATCGCGAAAGAGTTTTCGATGATGTTGCAAAGAAGTGGCTCTTGATCTATAGAGTCACAAAGGATTGCGGAAATGTCGCATACAAAGACTTCTTCGAAAAGGTTGCCGTTCCCGAGGTGAAGGAGAGGAACGAGATTTTTGGATTCTCCCGTGCATCTGCCGAGAAAACTGGAGATATCATCGAGTTCTGGCTTGGTGTCTTGGACGTGGCCAATATGGCCAAGGGAGTCGTGGATGTTTTCAATGCTAGCGTTGATCCAGCTGAGTATCTCAATGGACTGGAAAAGGCACTGGCTCAATTCACATCGACCTCCCGAACCTCGAGCACCATCAATGACAAGAGACGGGGATCCTTCGACTGCACACTGCAAACTGCAGAAGCCGAAAGGGTCATGAAGCTCATCCACGCAATCCCCGGATATGACTCGCTGGCCAATTTCTGCTGCCTCACGGACTGGGAGAAGGATCAGGTATTCTCTCATTATCGCAGGAAGAACAACATCACAGGGGGTGACGCCAGCATGGGCACTGATGCCGATGCCAAGCCAGGTGACGAGTCGTCGGCTCACCCTGGGGAGGAGGAAGCTGATGAGCCAGCGAACGACCCCACCGATGTGGTCAGGGACTCAGAGAATTCCGGGAAACAACAACTTTTGGATGCGTTGGGAAAACTCTTTACCGTCTCTGAGGATGTCAACGTGTGCTTGTATTGTGGTAGCACCCAACATGGCCATCTTGAATGTGAACATGAGAAGAGGGATGAAGTCAGAAAGGTGCTAAAGGCCGTCCGAGCGTCGCTCGAGGCTGATAGTCCAACATCTGATGACGTCGATATGGAGCCTCCTGAGCACAAGAAGGACGGTTTAGGTGCTACTGATGGGTCGGGGCAAACGGATGAACCTACAAAATCGAGGTTTAGTGAACACCAATGGTACGACAGCATCAGAACTATGTCTGAAGTTGGTGACCTCGATGAGTATGGTAGATTCTGCATGGAAGGACGTGATGTTACAAAGCTAGGACCACAGAACATTGTTGACCTCAACGAAGTGGTCAGAGACGCTATTGTCAGAGGAGGAGGTGACTCTTGGTCAGTGCCAGACTTCATGGCAAGCTACTCTGATAACAACATCAGGAAGCCCTTCTACAAGAGAGTCGAGGCGCCGCAAGATGGTTTCTTGAAAATCATCCCGACTACGGGGGCCCATTTCTTCAACTGCTCTTACTTTGGAGGTGTAGAATATGCGGCCAACTACCGCTTCGAGACTGGCAACCGGCTCAATACCTACGAGGACAAGGTGAGTTCATCACTAAACAGGATCCTGCGGCACAACGTGGGGAAGGTATCAGAACAACAGAGTCTGTCATGTGATGACGCCGGCTGGGTGCCCATCGAGGAGGTGCTCAAATGTGAGTCCATCTGGAGGCACGAGTACGCACGCTGGCCACATGTATTCCTTGCTCCAAAAGGAAGAGCAAATGATCAGAATGCATGGAATGTCGATGAGGCAAACTACCGCATGACATTGCTCTTCAAGATCATGTTCCACTGTGCCCGGTATGGACGTCGCGTTCGTGAACAAGTCTTGGCATTTGGTATCAACAAGGACATTGAGCGCACCAGCCTGACGTGCATTGACAACAAAGTCGATGCGGACACGAACATTCCTGATGAAGGTCTACTGCTCTACCCTGTGGCGGTCCGTGCTCCTACGGGGCACAAAGAAGGATCTTCAAGGGACGACGTCTCATTGCTGTCCTCATTACTTTCACATCCAATCGCGCCCAACACCATTTTGTCGTTACCGGTTTGTTTCCACATCACCAAGAAGACCAACCTTCGAAGCATTTGGAGGCAGGGATTAATTCCAGGAGGTCTTGGAGAAGGTCATCGGATGTTCACGTTCTTCAACCCGTATGTGCCATGGGATCACAGATCATGGACCATCACGAAGAGCGTTGATACGCGAAGAGGGGACTACATTTGCTTGTTCGTCCCGACCGAGACCTTGATGGTGGAATATGGCGGTCGACTGACTGACTCGGGACAGATCGTCTCACCAAAGATCATCCCGTTCTCGGCAATCAAAGGAGGATGGATTCAGGACCCAAAGGACCAAAACAATAAGACATGGCTCCGGTTGTTCGTCCCGTCGGGCGACGACCAGGTAGTCCGGTCTGGAACTATCAAATCAAGAACGGTAGCCACCAAGGAGTCCATCTTGAGGGTTGCAAGTCAGTGCATCGACGCCGAAGATCAACCGTTTGACGAAACCGCCATGGATGCCATGAACATCGTCAACCAATTCAAGAACAACCTCATCGAGCCTGGCGGACAAGAGCAATACCTGGCCCGCATCAAGCTGATTGACTACATAGTCGAACGCAAAAGGGTGCAAACATCAGGTTGCCGCCATTGTCCTCACTGTCTCAATGAGACGCCGACAAAACTAGCAGTGTGTCTAGTTTGCTGGACGGAACTTGAAAGTTGTGGAATCCGTCCCTATCGGCTACAAGCTCCTGAAGACGATGAAGATGAGGCCACGAAGAAAGAGATCGATGAAGAAGTTCGTCGACAAGAAGAATCGTTGTTCAAGGATACGGTCCATCAAGCACAAGAAAACGTATCCGAATCCAACGACTATGGCTTCAATCCTGACGAGGTCGACTACAACGAAGGCGATGATGAGGAAATGGATCAGGAGGAGGAAGCCCAACAGGAAGACGACGAAATCGTTGAAGAAGACGACGATGAAATGGAAGTCGAACCTGAAGATGAATCCTCTTCCAAACTTCCAGCATGGACCAAGAACCTCGAGAGCGGCAGCAAGGGTATGCCAGAAGACGGACTTATCAACAATGATGTCTCCGAGGCCGCGGCTCACTTGTATGACAATGCCGTCATGTCAAAGATCATCACAATGTTCAGGCTCTACTACAAACAGAGAGTCACTCTGACCCCAGAGGAGTACTATGAGATGATGACGGAAACCAAGCGAGTCCGGCTGGACCTGGACGACTTCTGTCCTTATACAGGAGAAGACCAGGATGGCAACCTCAAGCGACCGACGGAGCTGGAATTGGATGAACTCTTTCAGCAGAAAGGGAAGAGGAATTCATGGTCAGAAGGAGAGAAGTTATACTCAGGGCGACCAAGAAACATGATGATGCCTGTCATCAAGACTTTAGAGATCTATGAGAAGATGATGGAATTTCTGGTACGCGCTGGGTACACTCCTGAGTCATTAGGCTTTCTCATGCCAATGAACCGAATGCAGGCTGATGCCCAAGGGAAACAGGAGATGCGAGTAACCATCAGCAATTTCCTTCGACGACTGCTCAAAGGAACCTTTCCGGAGCACGAGTCATACACCTTCTTTCGCTCCGGGAGCCACGGCTTCCCCAACTGCATCGAACTCCCAGCTTTCTCGGTATATCTGAGCCTGAGGGAGAAAGAACAGAGAGTAGAACTGCTCTTTGCCGCCCAACAATGTGGCATTCCTTTACCTCAAAACTTTGTCAGCAAGATGGCTTATGCTATTCAGCTGGCCGAGGCCGAGGCGCAGAGGGGAAAGACCGAGATGAAAACGAAGATGGCTCCAACCCTTGGCGACGAAGTGGTGAGTGAAGTATTCAAAGCGGTTGGACATACTGCAGCTTCCAAGTTTGCTAAACCACCTGCACAACCTTCACAGACACCTGAAGGCACTGGTTCAGCATCATCCTCATCGGCTAGCGCACCAAAGGGCAAGGCTATGCCGAAATCCCATGAACCATCAAAGGCACCGCCTGCAAAGCCTTCATCGCCGAAAGCTGCTCCGAAACGTGCGGCAGGATGGGAGAGAACTCCAACAGCACCTCAATGGAAGAAAGTCCGCCGTGAGCAGTAAACCAATTGCTTCGATCCGTCAAAATGATCACTGGGCTACAAGATGTTTACCGTCTTTATGAACAGATGATCAGGAAAAGAACAACTGAGTGGACACTGAGCGAGGCATTAGACTAATTCGCTTAGGTTCAAGACTTTTGATATTCCCAATCTGCACGAGATTCTGCAATGTGCACGTGAATTCGTTAGTTAGCATTGTAAACCTTTGGTAGCGAAGCGATCCATTTCTCCCGACGGGTGAGTGGCGGGCTTAGCCAACGTAGAAAAGTAGATGTTAGCTAGCAATAATTCGCGTTGTACAGCTTGATGAAGCGCCGATGCATCGACAGCCAAAGAGTAGGTGAGCCCTGAACCATTATACCCGACGGGTATGTGGGGAAGGGGGATCCGAATGGCACGTTTTATGTAAATAGGCGTAATTCAAGTAGCAGAACAAATCTAATTCAAAGTTCCCTCTCTCGTGTCCGTGGCTCGAAGAATGCCACGGGCATGGGGGGTGTCAAAGGGAACTAAACGCTAGGACACTTATCATGTACATATGTGATTGTGCATTGAAACGCCGTACTGGCTCAAGTCCCGCGCGAGGAAAATAAGAACGCTGTCCGCATGCCATGCACTGAGATTGCCCGGCGCTATCAGCATTACTGGTACTACAGACAAAAGGGATAATCCAGAACAAGGATCAATTTGTTCACATTCACCATATTTGACCGATTTAGCTTGTGAAACTTTGGGATGAGACTGGAACATTCTGCGCTTCATCCTCACCGGTGAGAGTGTGCATAAACAGTTTGCAGCATGTGGAAACTCAGGTCAAAGCGCGAACCACTGTCGCGCCAGACGTGGCAGGGACTCCAAAAGGCGTTCTTTCAGTTCCAAAACAGATCAGCCCTTTTGGCCTGCACTCGTCTCTTGTTTGAGACACACATCGACATTGCTAGTGCCTCCCACAGATTGCGGAAGTAAATGTTATGCAATCTGAAAGGGTAGAGCGCGGGCACGCTGAACATGCCCAGTGTACCTGTCGCTTGGTCGAGTCATCATCACATTGTCTACTTCAGCCCTATCGACCTCAACAGTATGCCTCACAAGACGCCAGCTTTGGCTTAACTCCAGTCATCGCGTTACATAGTGATACCCTACTTCGTACATCTGTCGTGAATTACCCCATGAATTACCCATCCAGTTGTCCAAACCTCAACCATGCCATGCCGCCAGTGAGGTTGGCGATGTACAAAGAAGTCGCTCCCCGAGTTCAGCAAGAACTGGACGACATTGTTTGGACCTTGAAATCTGGGATGGAAAGCTGTCCTCAGGGCTGAACCGCTGGTAAGCGGTGGTCAGCCTGCCAAATGGATCCAAATGGATCCAAATGACACTCGAGTATATATATATATATTGTAATATATTATAGTATTTATAATATATTATATATAATATATATATCTCTATATATATATATATGTATAGTCACGAGTTGGGTCAGGTTGGGTCTTTGTTGGAGATCACAAAAAAAACTCGTGGCATGGTGATACACTGCTACACTACTTCGGTTGGCCTCGGTGAGGCCCTGCCACAGAATGTGATCCCTTTCACTCAAGAAATCTCTTGCAAAGCTCGGCCTGAGGTCCAGCAAACCATAGATGCGGGAAAGAAGGCCGAGTTTGGTAACAAGTTTTTCATCGTTTTTCCGTGCAAAACTGTTCTCATGACTTTTGCACAATCCAATTGTCGGCTCATGTCGGCTCCTGTAGGCCAGGTTGATGGCCTGTGAGCACAAGTTAGGTTGGGCCCTCTGTGAGGTCGTTCACATCGTTCACTGCCTGCCTTGGATTGCCCCTTGCCCCTTGACCATCTTGACCCCCCCAAAGAATTCAGTCGACTGCCCGGCCAAAGGCAAGCATGTTGGTCCGGGCGCCTAGCACTGGCCTCTCTGCCCTGGTACTTTGCAGCCAGGTGTTGGCAATCCAGCCACATGGAATTTTATCATCTTGCGAAATATCCAGATAGAAGCGCCAGTTCCCGGCGGTGGGCCAACTACCTTGGACCTTGACCCAACACGTTGAAGGGCTGGACTTCATGGTGGTGCCCAGGTGAGGACATCCCCGGAAAGATCGAGAAGGCAATGTGGGGATGTGGATATGCAATGATATGCATGCAATTTAGGTAGATGTGATATGTGCTGGATATGTTGTGATACGTCTAGACTCTAGACTGAAAATGATCTACGAGTCATTCGCTGTCCAAGAGTGCTCATCTACCAACACCATGGAGCCACAACATACGCGCGTGACAATATCAAGCATTGCCTTCAGGATTTCATTGACATGTCAGTTTGTGAAGGATTCCTTCCGTCAAAAACCATCGATGCCGGAAGAGCCGGTGGTTGTGAGGCTACATCGATGCAGAATGCTTGCCATGGAGCTCAGAGGTTGTTAGAACAGTTGTAGTTACCCTGTAGATCAGAAGTGAAAATGTCCATGTTTTCCTTCGTGTTTGGGTCTTGTTTGACTGGGCTCATATGATGTGCTGAGGTTTGCAGATGCAGGACATGCAAGGGTGTGGAGGGAGGATCCAAACTGCACGTTTATGACAACTGTTGGATTGTGGAAAGATTTCAACGTAGGAATGCATTAATACATTTTAGTACATTAGGATAGTGCAACCATTCCATTCGCCCCATCCCCCAAGTCGTTATGTTGTGCTATGTTCAACCTTGAACGAGATCATTGTGGGACGGACCGGCAGATCAAAGGCCAGCTCCGTTTGCCCTCTCTGCACGTGTCAGGAGATTGCCAATCGCATTGCTGTGAAGGACGCCAACATGGGCTTCCCAAAAACTGCAGGCAGAACTGTCATGGACCTTCAACCTCAATGATCTCCATGGAATACTTTCGAAATTCCGTGCTCGTCGTGCTCGTCTTGGTGGGTCTGCTGGGGGGTTCTGGTTTCCCCTGTCATCCCGCAGCTGGCAGGCAGTCGCTGCACAATGAACGATCGCAGGGGCTCCCAGTGAAATCCAATGAGCTTCGAAGTTCCAGCTCCTTGACGGCGAAGGATGCACCAGCGCAGATACTGATAGATACTGTATCATCTCACTTCAAAAAATAAAACATCCATTTGGGTGTCAGTTCGGGGATGTTTTGGCCGAAGGGCAATGCATGGTATTGCATGGTTGGACCATCGAACCACCTCCTACTGTATGACGTTTGGCATAAGCCATGCAGCATCACAGTCAGTGAGAAACCAATCTCATGTCTCAAGGTTTCGAGACCTTTTGCAATGGTCATCCAAGAGTTGGCACGTTTTCTAAGAAGGGCCTGCCAGATCATTTGCAACCACATCAAACATTACCATGGCCTGGGACTGCGTTAGAAACACAGGCGTTTCTGAACCTGGCGAGTGCGACTATCTCAACTGCTACACGACGGACGACAAGCTTGGGTTCTCAGTTGTGGCCCGTAGTTCCTCCCGCCAAAGCCAGCGTTGAGAGTCCATATTCGTCTCCCTTCGAATGCTGCTACCTTGTCAGCGGCCAGGCAGGCCACACTTGTATGGATTCAAATTGACAATATGTATACGTATATATATAACATATATGTATACTGTATATATATATATATGATATGTGTATATAATTCTACTGCAAATGTTTGCTCCAGATGCAGAAGAGGAGTGCTTCGATCCGTTTTCCACATTAAATCTCAGGTTCAAGAAGGCGATTGCTGCGTTGAAGAAGAGGAATGACAAGTGCTACGATGCTTGGACTATGCTCTGTGATGGGAGAATGTGTTTTGAATCTGTGGGGAGACCGGCCGTATTGATGAATCCTTCCACTGAATTTGATCTCGAAGTTTACAGGAATCAAGTGATGTATCAGTATCAGGTTTTGGGTTTTTTTCTAGCCTGTCACCCTGATCTGGGTCTTAATTTTCTCAGCACTGCAGGAGCCAATCATATACAGAAATGCAGCCATAGTAAGCTTACATGGTCCCAACTGCTTTTTCATTCCAGGAACAGTTTCTGCCACAAAAAAACAGTACACTTAGATCCAAGCTGCGAAATCCTGCGAATACCAAGGACGATTGGGTCCGTGGCTCAGATGGACGTGGGCAGCCATGACTCCGGGAATCAGCAGCGTGAAATTGGTCAAACTTTCATCCCGACGACCTTTTGCTCAATGTTTTTTTTGCCTCGAAAAAGGTGAAACGCATATGCAGCACATCGGTATAGCACACAAAAAAAAGCACTTGCAGGCCGACCGATCCATTCACAACTCCTTGAACATCCGAGTGATAACTTGCACGTAGACAGGATTTCGCGTTCCAGTTGCTACAATATAGCATGATATAGCCATCTCCAAATCAACTCTTTTCATCTCTTTTCTATCATGACTGTTGTGGTTCCTCTATCACTGATATTTGATCATCGTGGTTTCGACGACACCGGTGGCATTTCCTGAGACACCAAGGAGGCCACCGTGGATCGCGCGGCCAACTCCTGTTCCAAGGAATCCGCTAGGGCCGCTAGGGGTCGACTGGTGGGATTGCCCGGACACGGAGAAAACGGGGGGTGAAGTGATTCCACTCCTTAGCAGATCCTGTTCACCACAGAAAGTCCCAACCATTTTTTGATTATTTTTGTGGATTCCACGTTATTTCCAGCTTTTTGGTGGGAAATTCGGAGGAGCCAAAGGAGCCACCGGTGCAGCAGCTGCCTCCTGGGGTGGCGCCACCGGCAACGACCAAACCGGCGGTTTCGCAGGTGGACAGGACATATCAGGGCTGGTGGTCAAAATTTGGACCAGAATGGACCGGTTATTTTAAGTATATCATTAAACATCATTAAACAATTGGGGGGTTGCCCAAACGGGACATATTTCCGGTACTTTCAATTTTCTGTGGATTTTGTTCTTGCTTTGTGGCTTTGAGGAAAAAGCAGAGAAAAAACCATTCTTTTTATCGTCAATACATTATTTTGTGATGGTTTCCTGTAAATTCACGGTTTTTTCAAATCCATTCCTGTGTTTTTCTTTTCTCTTGAAGCCATTCCGGGAAATCTACTTCAGCACTTGGCTGACGTCCTGCCGCCATGTAGGCAGCTTCACCTCCTGCTGCGCCAGCTGCGCCAGCTGCGCCTGCTGCGCCAGCTGCGCCTGCTGCGCCAGCTGCGCCTGCTGCGCCAGCTGCGCCAGCTGCGCCAGCTGCGCCAGCGGCGCCCAGCACGAAGGAAGGTTCCACAGCTGCCAGCGCCTCAGGAGATGGGGATTGGTTCATTTGAGGATCAGTCGATTTACACATCCGATTTGTATCCATTTTATGGGGAGTTGAGAATAATTATTGACCCGTACCTGGCTTCTGCAAAGACCCTCTGCTGCAAATAGGGGACTTCGCAAACGCATTCCAAGACCCAAGGTGGCCTTTGTTATCATGGCAGGTTGTCGTCCAGGTTGGATGTGGATTTCGTGGGTGCTTTGACAAGATGACTGGATCTCTGCAGAACAATCTATCCTTTGCTTCATTTTGAGACAACACCACACCAATGGTTTTGATCTTAGCAGGGCAGACAAGCATGAACCGCGTCGGCAGGAAATCCAAATCGTGCTGAACGGATGGGATGCTTTCTCTGAGAGAAAAGCATAGCAGAGCGGAGCCATTGATGACAATGACTCATATGACCATGACCATGACCCAGACACTGACCAGTATGAGCACCATCATGATGATGATGATGATGATAATGATGATGATGATGATGACGATGACGATGACGATGACGATGACGATGATGATGATGATGATGATGACGATGATGTCATTACTAATCTTGTCCTCGTGTATGATCTTGCTCTTCTGGAGCATGTTTTTGTTACAAGTTAATCGAAGTTAGTCAAGTAGACGGATCACTTTAATTTCAGCAGTCACACATTTGAAATGTTTAGAGTCTAGAGGGCGTGATGTGTGTCAACAGGCTCATGCAAACCAGGATTGCAGGAATTTGACACTTTTATTACCCTGTTCTGGCCCACATGCGAAATGCCAGCACCCCTTGTGCCCTGGGCCAACGAAAGAGGCCAGAAATCTCTGCTGCAAGCTTTGGCTCAGACACATGGAGGGCATGCAGCTCCAAAGACATGATCAAGTTGTGATGTCTGCATTGAGGGAAAGGGCCAACGTTTTGCATTGCATAGGAGCGAAAGGTGCATATGGTGCATAAGGTGCATATGGTGCATCGTACCACTGTAGAACGCCCTTTCCAGGATGACTAATCCTTTGCCATGATGAGAAAAGCTCGAAAAAGGCATGAAATTGAAACATCAACGCTAGCAGAGGCAGCGGCATGGAGTCAAACGAACAGAATGATGGTTCCGATGAAGGTGGGGTTGATCTGGGACTGCTTCAAAAACGAGACTGCAGAAGCAGGGAATCTCATCATCTAACTGGGTTGGTCTGAAAATAGGGAACCCCCAAACTAGTGAACTGGTGGTTTATCGATGTTTATCGGTTTGTCATCATTTTCCCTCCATGTTTGGACAAACCCAATTTGGAAAAGGCGATTATACAACTCCCAGCCATCTCCCTGAGCCTAGCGGCTTCGCAGATTACGAAGCGTTTGAAGTGGAAGATTTGGACAACGGCGAGGAGGGGAAAGGCGCAGAGGGCTACACTCGAATGAACGATGTGTATCGGAAAGTGCAGGATCCACAAGACCGCAGGCATGTTACTGTAGTTGACCTACTTGGTAGTACTCGTTTAGTTTGCATGGCGGGATTGAGTTTTTGTGCTGAATTCCACCTTCAAAACATGCAGAACTGCAGCCAGGCACAGGTCGCTTGACAGATCTCTTTGAAGATTCGGACTGACCTGGGTTGGGAGGATGACTAACATGGCTAATGAAGGGACCAAACTTTGCACTGCAAAGAATGAACTTGCAGAAGGGGTTGGAGGCTGCTGGATTTTGTCATAGCTGGAGATGCAGCCTCCACAAATTGGTTGTTTGCTGCCGCGCCACAGGCTGCCATTTGGCTCAGGGTTGAACGCGGCGCACCGTGGAACTCAAAGCCTTGCAAGGCAGTGGGGTGATCGGCGGTGCAGGTGCCTCATCGAGGTTTGTTCCTTATTCTGAAGAGTAGACCCAATGATCATTAAGGTAACAAGATTCGATAGCAATGCTCGTATATGATTTTGTCGCTTCTATTCCATGTTCTGGCTGATCTGCTCAACCCGAATTGCGACGACATCAAAATGAGCAGCTGTAGTGGGTCTCACATATTGAGGTTCCGGAGCAGCCAGCTGCCACCAGTGTGGTCTTGTGGCCCGCTGGTATGCGTATCATTTGACAGCCAGGATGGGTATTGGTCGTGATTCCCGCCACAAGCACTACAAGACCGGCGGAAGGTCCAAGGTGCCTCAATTCGCCGTGATTTCTCGTGGCGCTGGTTGTGAAGTGGTGCAAATACTGGAGTCAGGCAAACTCGCTTCTAGGTATAAAACAGGTTGCGGTTGTTGCGGTTGTTGCGGTTGTTGCGGTTGTTGCGGTTGTTGCGGTTGTTGCGGTTGTTGCGGTTGTTGCGGTTGTTGCGGTTGTTGCGGTTGTTCCGGTTGTTGCGGTGGTTGCGGTGGTTGCGGTGGTTGCGGTGGTTGCGGTGGTTGTGGTTGCGGTTGCGGTTGGTGTTGTTGTTGTTGTTGTTGTTCTTGTTCTTGTTCTTGTTCTTGTTGAGGCTCTGTTGCTCTAGCAAGAAATGCCACTGCCGTCACCCACACAAATACATAACCCTAGCAAAAAACACCAATACCAGTACCACTAGCGACACTCCAAGAAGACAAATAAGTAGAATAAGAAGGAAGGTACAGGAAGAGGACAAAAAAGAAGATTGGAAGAAAAAAAAGGACAACGACGAGGAGAACAACGACGATGACGACGACCATTAACATATCATAACAGCAAGACACAGAACAACATCCGGAGTCACAGCTAGCAGCCCCATGCTTGTGTCTAAGATGTAAACAGCAAAGCTTCAAGCATCAGGAATGGTGCAACCAGAGTTTCCAGCCACCCAACCTGTTTGATATTCCGAATTTTACAGTCCAATTCCAATCTGATCGGATCCAAGTGGCGCAGACCTCCATCAAGAAGAGGAAGTATGAGATGGGACGCCCTGCCACTCCCTGCAAACTGGGTGCCAAGCGCGTGCGCTCCGTGCGCTGCCGTGGTGGCAACATGCCCGGCGGCCCAGCACTTCCCGGCCAGATCTAAGGAGGTTGACCCAGGTTGACTTCCGCTTGAATCCACGTGAATCCAGCTGTTGATTCCTAGGAAGTACCGGGCCCTGCGTCTGGACGCTGGCAACTACGCCTGGGGTTCCGAGAATGTCACCAAGAAGGCCTGGAAGGATGGGGTGACATGGCTGGCCACTTATTGCTAGGCTAAGCTTCTTTAAAGGGGCTTAAAGAGACCAGTGAGCATTGCTCATCACCAGGTGAGGATCCTTGATGTGGTCTACAACTCCACCAGCAACGAGCTGGTTCGCATCATGAATGCAAAGCTGGAGGAGGTAGCGTCAAAACACGATCCCAGGTCATGCTGTTCATATTTGTTCATACTAATGGCCTTTTTAATACATCTACCATTATCTTTTTGGTGGATCTGGTGTGGTCGAAGTTGACGTTGTTTGAAATCACACCTGCCATCCTTTTTTAGCCTTCCCTCCTGTTGGTCATTCCTCATCTCCATTTTTAACTTTTGTTTGACATGTTGCTCTCCTTTTTATGCCTCCCAACGGAGATAGGGTATTGAGAACAACGCACGCCGCTGCTTTTACTTCCAATCACAGAGAAACTTTTTGGTTGAGTAGTAATTAGAAGGACGTTCAGGGTGATATCTTGGGACTATTTGTAGGTTGCTGGGCAATTCCTGTGTGTGGGAGGTTGAAAGATTCAGCTGGGCACCTATTTCAGTGCAATGACTTGGGATATTAACCATCTATATACATGAGCACAGAGTCACACAGTTAGGTTGTCCTCCCAACAATCGAAATCACGTCGTATTGCATCCTTTTTTGTTTTGGACAAGAGCAAAGCCTCTAATTTATGTGGGTCCCGTCGTGTCCTGCCCAAAGATCCAACAAGGTACCAAGACCTTGCTGAAGAACACTGTCGTGCAGTGTCTTGGCATAGTCTAGCTTTAAAATGGAATCACTGGACACCACATTTCCTGAATGTGCATTGCTCCAGGATTGATGCTCACCCTTTCATGCAGTTCTACCAGAAGCATCTCAGACAGCGTTTCATTTTGATGTTGTTTGTCAGAAACGAGAAAAGGAGTGGCTCGAATACTTCCAAGTCCGCCATTTTTCCGCTGCCCAATGATACGTTCTTGACATTTCCTTGCTGCGTTTGGGCAGCACAGTGACAAACCACATTTACTCCCTTTGAACAGCACAGTCGCACAGTGGAAAGCTGTCCGCCGATGGTGCCATGGTCTCCGTCTGTGAATTGCCTATCTTGGTATGGTCCCCTGCCATTCAGGAAGTACGGCCAGGACCTGGGCAAGAAGAAGAAGGGAGCTGCAGGTGTGGTCTATGCATCCCACTGCACTATGTATATTATATATTATTATATAACATATATAATATCACCACCCTTTTCGTGGGGTGTAAGCAAGGGGGGCGTTCAAAACATGTAAGCAACAATTTTGACCCCTGCGTATTTTTTCCCGATGGGGAAGGCTATATGTATGTTAGACCCCTCCTACGTCAAAAACCGTGCCCCGGAAGATTTACATTTAGGGGGGGTGAAAGTCCGTACAGTTAAGAGATACGTCACCCCGTACCCCGCTCCGAACCCCCCCCCGTACTCTACGTAAATCTATACCAATAAACTATATCATATTATGTCTATATAAAGCGTCTTTACTAATAGCGTATATAGCGTATAACAACTAATAATAGCCTATAAAATGCTTCTAATAGCGTATAGAAGATCACTCCGACCGTTATATATGTATATATATATATATATAGTGTACACACACACACACATTTACATTCAGAAATATATCGTATTCGATTTTGTAGACATTGTACTTTCTTGATGCATCCAGGCATCCGTGATCTGCAGAAAACAGCCTTGTTACATGTCAATCGCTGCGTATGAGCCCAACGGGGCATGCGGGGCCAGGCGAGAAGACCGAGAAGGAAGAGGCCATGGGGTTGTGACCGGGTTGTGAATGCTGGTTCACGCCTGGTTTACTGTAGCGTTCAAGACGAACTTTCACAGCTTCTTTCAACAGAGTTCAACATTTTTGAACATAAGAATTATGTCTCAAGACTGGGGACCCTCAGATCCATGAAATCCCTTCTGTCGAACCAGAAACAAATTGGGCTACCCACACCTATCATACCTATCTTCCAGTGCCGTATGAGTACGTATGACACTTCAGGTAAAGGTGTCCCGGCATGTCCTCTACAAGCAGAAGGCTCGCGCCGCCAGGCCAGGGGGGTTGCTGGAGCCACTGTGCCACCAAAAACATGTTGTGTTTTATTGTGTTTTCTTCTGTCTTGCAGTTTTCCACGGAACTTCAAGAAAGCTGCAAATCGGATGTCAGGGCACTTCGTTCGTTTGCATCAATCCAATTCTAGAGAGCATTTCTCTGTGTTTGAAACTATTGACTTTTGGCACTCCCTACATTCATTGATCAGTCAGCAACCCATTTGTTGCCCATCTGAGTCTGAACGTTTGAACAGTGTGGCTTTTCCCCAAGCACCTCCAGGCAAAAGCTGGACTCCCTGCTCGAGGACCCAGAAGAGCCTCGTGGGCTCTCCAGCTGCAGATTTCTGACACTCCCAATCTTGGATAAACTGGTTTCATAACCATCATCATCAACAACAACAACACCGACAATAAGAATGATAATAGTCACAATAGCAGTTCAATAGCAGTTCAATAGCAGTTCAATAGCAGTTCAATAGCAGTTCAATAGCAGTTCAATAGCAGTTCAATAGCAACAACAACAACAACAATGATGATATGATTGATAAAACATAGTTTCAATAACAGTACAAGTACTGTATAAACACACACACACATAATATATATATATATATTATAAAGGGCTACGCCCTCTGCTGCCGACCCCTGGGCAACTCGGTGGGCGTTGCCGTCGCGACTGCGCGTCGAAGCTGCGGGCTATTGGCAGTGCAGCCAGTGTGCAGAACGAAAGCCGCAGGCGGAGTTTATGGCAAGCATGCAACGCGTGCACATCCTTGGCATTAGTCTGTCGTTTTGCACAGTGGGCGAGCCAACGTTTGGCGCAATCGAGAGAGCGTGCCAAGCGAGAATGGGTCGAAACTATTTTGGCAGACGTTCGATGAGAAATTCAGAAGACAAAACCACCACGCGCGCCAACTGCACAGCAGAGCGCGCCCAACAACCAAGCAACTGCAGCGCCCATCTACCAACCAATACCATGTCCATTCTGTACAGTGGCTGTGGCCAGCAATGTTAACACCGGCCAGGTTCATCACTGCCGTGCGTGTGGCAACAAGTTTCATGTTCATTCCGGCGGCGTTTCTGGCCGCATTCACAAACATGCATGTCCTAGATGCGGGACAATCGTATCGTCCTCGCAGGTGGCCGGACGAATTCAGGTAAAACACAAAACCCCTGCTGGCAAGACTTGCCGCCAAGAAAAATGGCAAACATAGCCATGTCGACTAGAAACTAGCTCCAAATTGCACCTCTCAGGCCTCTCTGAAGGACGGATTGTGACCGTGGCCTCGCTGCTTGTGCCGTGACATGGTGTTTCGCTGTGGCGAAGCCAAGGTTTTGGAGGCCTGAAGGCTGCAATTTGGAGCTAGGTATTCTTGTCGAGTCAGAAAGCGAGGTTAGGCACCAGCGGCAGGCCGAGGCCACAATCCGTCCTTCAGTGCCATGCAGTTTCGGTGTGGCGAGGGGTCCGTTTTGGAGGCCTGAGAGGTGCAATCTGGAGCTAGTTTCTAGTCGATTCAGAAAGCGACGTTATTCGTTGCCTTCGTAACCGACAAGAAACTAGCTCCAAATTGCAGCCGTCAAGCCTCCAAAACGTTGGCGGCGGCCCAGAGTGCCTAACTGCTTGTACCGCTTGTATAACTGCTTGTATTCCTCACTTCTTGCTTCTTGCTCCTTGCAGCTTGTAATCTCTCCTCTGACGCGCTCCCCCTGCTGCAAGCGGGGTCGGCGGATATAGCCTGATATAGCTATCATAGCTTTGTGGATTCCCAAAGTCATCAAGTTTGACCCTCAGCTACCGCGCCAGGAGCAGTTTCAGAGCGGCCGCCTTTTGGCTTGCATCGCCTCTCGCCCCGGGCAATGTGGACGTGCAGATGGCTACGTCCTGGAGGGCGAGGTGTGGGGACCACGGACCATGGGGAGCTTCGAGGGTGGCAGCCTGGGTGTCCCGTTGGCTTTTAAATGTGGGATTGAAGCATCTGGACACATCTGAACATATCTGGCAAAAAACCTGCAAACAAAACATGATGCCAGGATACAAAGACACACAACACACACATACACACAAGCCTGGGACAGCCAGCTTGAGTTTTGGTGGTGCTATTCAGTCCTGATTGGGAGACATGTTCTTGGAGACTAACGCTCTTTCAGAGTTGGCAGGGCCTTTCTGCATGATGTCTGCGAGGGCTTTTGGCTGTACTTGAATGCATTTCGAACGCCGAGAGGAGCTTGCCTTCTACAAGAAGAAATTGGAGAAGAAGAAGAAGAACTGAGAAGGGTCTTGCATTTTGCGCACATGCCACGGTCGCCCGAAACAAAAGGGTTCGCCTGTGCAAAGGCTGAAGGAGTTGGAGACCTGCAGGGAGATTCTGAGATGCGGCTATCTCCGGGCAGCCAGACTAGACCATGGTTTTCACATCCTTTCACCATTTGTCTCACAACTGTGATTCTTTGCTTGGAGACATACCCAGAGCAACTTGATAGTTTTGAACATTAAAAAAAACTCCAGAAGCATGGTGAGAATCGTTAGTAGATTGGTTGCCAGGTTGCCGGGCAGTATGAAACATATCATGTGGGATCACTGCAGCCGTTGCTGGTCTCCAGGATGATGGTGAGGTGAGCAACCTACCGGAGGCGGACTCACCAAAGGAGCTGACTTCAACTTCCAAGAGTGAGCAGGTGCCGACTCGGGGCAGCACCATTCCTGAACTACTAGAAATACTAGGCATACTAGGACCACTGGGACCTAGGAGGAAACTTCAGCTTCGTTTTTTGAAAGCTATGCAGAAAGTGAGTCTGCTATGTCAATGTCAACAGGCAGTTGTGTTGCCCTGCAGTGAAATGGAGCCCATCAATGATTCTTCACTGATAGCCCAGTTTATCCATTCTTGGAACCATTTTTACCCATACTTGTGCCCTGTTTCCAGGGCAATGCTGCAGTGAGCAATGCAGCTGCAGAAGCGGCAGAACCAGCTGTGGCACCCGCTGCTCATGCAGAAGTGCCCGAGCAGGCGTGGGGCACTGGTGCCGAGTGGTGTTGGCAAGTGTGAAAGGATGATGAAGGATGTTGAAGGCACGGAGCCGAACAAAGTTCGCAGAAGGCATGGAGCCGACCAAAGTGCGAATGCTACTGGGTATACTTTCACAAAAATGAGATTGCATTGTGTAAAAAGCTGCTTCTTCATCTAAGATAGAGTTCATCCCTGTATTCCTGTATTCATGATGTTCTTTGTCCATGTCGGGTTCTTGTCGATTCCTGCCTAGCTGTGTAGAGCATTTGGAGCCATGTTTCATGTTTCGACCATCTTTGAAACATTTCGTTGTTGTTAAGACCTTACAGCCGCAGGTTTGACTTGAAACATCTTCACATATCTTTACGCATTTGGCTGTTGCGACAAGATGTGGTAGACATCTTTGACTTGTCCCCTTGAGCCCCTTGGGTCTTTGTTCTTCCACAACATGTATGTTTGCAGTCTTGTCTTCAATGTCATGTTTTTTTCCTGTGGGTCATTTGATGATCGCAGTTGGTGGTTTCCAGGGCAATGCTGCAGTGAGCAATGCAGCTGCAGAAGTGGCAGAACCAGCTGTGGCACCCGCTGCTCATGCAGAAGTGCCCGAGCAGGCGTGGGGCACTGGTGCCGAGTGGTGTTGGCAAGTGTGAAAGGATGATTAAGGATGTTGAAGGATGTTGAAGGATGTTGAAGGCACGGAGCCGAACAAAGTTCGCAGAAGGCATGGAGCCGACCAAAGTGCGAATGCTACTGGGTATACTTTCACAAAAATGAGATTGCATTGTGTAAAAAGCTGCTTCTTCATCTAAGATAGAGTTCATCCCTGTATTCCTGTATTCATGATGTTCTTTGTCCATGTCGGGTTCTTGTCGATTCCTGCCTAGCTGTGTAGAGCATTTGGAGCCATGTTTCATGTTTCGACCATCTTTGAAACATTTTGTTGTTGCTAAGACCTTACAGCCGCAGGTTTGACTTGAAACATCTTCACATATCTTTACGCATTTGGCTGTTGCGACAAGATGTGGTAGACATCTTTGACTTGGGTCCCCTTGAGCCCCTTGGGTCTTTGTTCTTCCACAACATGTATGTTTGCAGTCTTGTCTTCAATGTCATGTTTTTTTTTCCTGTGGGTCATTTGATGATCGCAGTTGGTGGTTTCCAGGGCAATGCTGCAGTGAGCAATGCAGCTGCAGAAGTGGCAGAACCAGCTTTGGCACCCGCTGCTCATGCAGAAGTGCCCGAGCAGGCGTGGGGCACTGGTGCCGAGTGGTGTTGGCAAGTGTGAAAGGATGATGAAGGATGTTGAAGGATGTTGAAGGATGTTGAAGGATGTTGAAGGCACGGAGCCGAACAAAGTTCGCAGAAGGCATGGAGCCGACCAAAGTGCGAATGCTACTGGGTATACTTTCACAACAATGAGATTGCATTGTGTAAAAAGCTGCTTCTTCATCTAAGATAGAGTTCATCCCTGTATTCCTGTATTCATGATGTTCTTTGTCCATGCGGGTTCTTGTCGATTCCTGCCTAGCTGTGTAGAGCATTTGGAGCCATGTTTCATGTTTCGACCATCTTTGAAACATTTCGTTGTTGTTAAGACCTTACAGCCGCAGGTTTGACTTGAAACATCTTCACATATCTTTACGCATTTGGCTGTTGCGACAAGATGTGGTAGACATCTTTGACTTGTCCCCTTGAGCCCCTTGGGTCTTTGTTCTTCCACAACATGTATGTTTGCGGTCTTGTCTTCAATGTCATGTTTTTTTCCTGTGGGTCATTTGATGATCGCAGTTGGTGGTTTCCAGGGCAATGCTGCAGTGAGCAATGCAGCTGCAGAAGTGGCAGAACCAGCTGTGGCACCCGCTGCTCATGCAGAAGTGCCCGAGCAGGCGTGGGGCACTGGTGCCGAGTGGTGTTGGCAAGTGTGAAAGGATGATGAAGGATGTTGAAGGATGTTGAAGGATGTTGAAGGATGTTGAAGGCACGGAGCCGAACAAAGTTCGCAGAAGGCATGGAGCCGACCAAAGTGCGAATGCTACTGGGTATACTTTCACAAAAATGAGATTGCATTGTGTAAAAAGCTGCTTCTTCATCTAAGATAGAGTTCATCCCTGTATTCCTGTATTCATGATGTTCTTTGTCCATGTCGGGTTCTTGTCGATTCCTGCCTAGCTGTGTAGAGCATTTGGAGCCATGTTTCATGTTTCGACCATCTTTGAAACATTTCGTTGTTGTTAAGACCTTACAGCCGCAGGTTTGACTTGAAACATCTTCACATATCTTTACGCATTTGGCTGTTGCGACAAGATGTGGTAGACATCTTTGACTTGGGTCCCCTTGAGCCCCTTGGGTCTTTGTTCTTCCACAACATGTATGTTTGCAGTCTTGTCTTCAATGTCATGTTTTTTTTCCTGTGGGTCATTTGATGATCGCAGTTGGTGGTTTCCAGGGCAATGCTGCAGTGAGCAATGCAGCTGCAGAAGTGGCAGAACCAGCTTTGGCACCCGCTGCTCATGCAGAAGTGCCCGAGCAGGCGTGGGGCACTGGTGCCGAGTGGTGTTGGCAAGTGTGAAAGGATGATGAAGGATGTTGAAGGATGTTGAAGGATGTTGAAGGATGTTGAAGGATGTTGAAGGCACGGAGCCGAACAAAGTTCGCAGAAGGCATGGAGCCGACCAAAGTGCGAATGCTACTGGGTATACTTTCACAAAAATGAGATTGCATTGTGTAAAAAGCTGCTTCTTCATCTAAGATAGAGTTCATCCCTGTATTCCTGTATTCATGATGTTCTTTGTCCATGTCGGGTTCTTGTCGATTCCTGCCTAGCTGTGTAGAGCATTTGGAGCCATGTTTCATGTTTCGACCATCTTTGAAACATTTCGTTGTTGTTAAGACCTTACAGCCGCAGGTTTGACTTGAAACATCTTCACATATCTTTACGCATTTGGCTGTTGCGACAAGATGTGGTAGACATCTTTGACTTGTCCCCTTGAGCCCCTTGGGTCTTTGTTCTTCCACAACATGTATGTTTGCAGTCTTGTCTTCAATGTCATGTTTTTTTCCTGTGGGTCATTTGATGATCGCAGTTGGTGGTTTCCAGGGCAATGCTGCAGTGAGCAATGCAGCTGCAGAAGTGGCAGAACCAGCTGTGGCACCCGCTGCTCATGCAGAAGTGCCCGAGCAGGCGTGGGGCGTGAAGCCACATTGCATTGCCTTAGTAGAGGGAAACCACAGCTCAGAAAAGGGAATAGAATGATAGAACTTTAGTTTTTCTAGGGCTAATGACAACTGGTGATATGGACACGGGTTTGTGCATACTAGTACTACCTCATCAGTGTTTTTTTTTACTCTGTTCCCATTGGCAATTTTTTCTCCAACTTAGAGTCGCTTGCTAGACATCTCCCAGCGATTCTTTGATATATACTTTAAAGATCTTTAAAGTAGCTCAGTAGCTTTCTAGAGTTCCAACTTCGCGGTGTAGCAATTCTTCTCCCAGGTCAATTGAGATACATGCGACATGCATATATTGTGGGCCGTTTCCAGGGCAATGCTGCCGTGAGCAATGCCGCGGCACCGACTGAACCATCCGTGGCACCTCCACCAGTGCTTGAGCAGGTGGATGTTTCAGCCGTCGGCCGAGCTGTTTTGCAGGCAACCTCTGACAAGAACTGACTTGAGCATAATTTAGTTGAGTGGCAATGCTGGTCAACCTTAGTCAATAGACCTTGATAGGGTTCCATGATTTGGTTGAATAACATTTCAATATCCCGATTGAATCAAAGTAATACTGTAATCATTGAGGGTTTTGGAAATTGCTCAATTCATGGCCCGCTGAAGCGCAGGGAAACCTTGCCACGGGCGACGCTGCGAGCTCGCCAGTGCAAGCTGCACCAGCTCCCAAGGCGAGTTTCGCATCGGGCGTAGCGGATCTGGGATGGCCGGCCAAGCTGTATGGCATAGCCAGATGGTTCAATGTGGGGATTTCCATAAATGGGGATACCACAATAACTGGATGGTTTATAATGGAAAATCCTATGAACATGGATGATGTTCAATGTTTTTTCAACATTTTCAAAATTGTTCTTGTTCATGAATGGCACCTTTGGCGCAAATCTTGGTTGACCACTGGTGTTGTCACCAGAGCTCTTGCAGTGAGGCTTTGTCCCATGAATTCGTACCAAGACTGTACCTCGTTTGGTTTGTAACTTCTCTTTTGCCACAGCAATATGATGTAATATGCAGTTACGGATATTTAGGGGTCGTAAGTGTTTGCCTGGAATCACCGGTCTCACCACTTGACGCTTCGCTGATTAAAATGACGGTTGTTGACCCTGACCGTCCTGACCCAACATTAAAGTCCATCCCAGATGGCCTTTGTGTGATGGTTCTGACACGTTCGCTCATGCAGGGCAATCTGCCGCCTGCGGAAAGTGCCGTGTTGCCACCGATTGCCCCTCCAAGTGAAAGTCCGAAGGCTGTCCTGCCTGAATGATCATTGTTTGTTGCATCAACAAGAACATCTCAAATTTGCAGGAACCACATAAATTGTTTTGAAACTGCTGCTTGCTGGGTGATGTATTCTGTTTTCCTCTAAACCATCAGATTGATTTCACTCGTATCACCGTCCTCTGTCATGTTGTGAACATGCCCCAGAGCCAGGATGACGAGACGAAAAAGGCCCAGAACACGCTGCCGCCGATCAATGGAGCACTGCCGGCACAAAGTCCAAAGCAGGACGGGTCTCCTGGAAACAAAAGGATACAAAGATATACAGATATACAGATACACACAGTAGCTTTTGCCTTGGACATTTGGAATGTGCCCCAGCTTTATTCTTATCGCTGTCCTGTCTGATGAATGGATCCAAAATCTTGCTGAAGTGGCACCAGGAAGCACCAGCGGGCAAGTCAGAAGAACCACTGCCCCCCATAGATGGCGAGGCCCAAGAAGAGTGAGCTGGAACAACGTAATCGGCTTGTGGTGCAGTAAGTTGGTGCATTCCGCCATGTTGCAGGCACCCTTCATGGAGTTGGTTTTAACATGTTTTAGCATCTTTTTTAGCATCTTTTACACATGTTTGAAGCTTTTCAAAGCATGGTGCTCCTCGGTGACAGGCCCCGGCGCCTTCTGATTCGATATTGGACACAGTAGCAGATGCCTTGGTGGAACATGCGGAACAGGCAGGTTGATTCATGCCGCAAGTTCTATTCAGTGTTTGTCTGGACATGTCTGGACAGTTGGGGGTCTGTCAACTAAACATCACTTTAAGACAAAGCATCCACGGTTGCTGTGCTGCTCAAAAGATTCAGCTGAAAGTCACCAGTTGCTTTGAGTGATTTTGAGTGTAAAGAGATTGGATTTTCTACTGGTCCTTGCTTTTTGGAAGGGCTTTTTGGACCCCAAATTTTAAAGCCATCACTGGATGGTGCTGCATGGTGCTGCATGGTGCTGCATGGTGCAGCATGACATGTCAGGCTGGTCCTGAGGCTTCCCAGGCCAAGGCTCAGAAGGAGTGGGGGCATCGGGGTGCTGATGATGTGGAATGGCGTGACAGTTCGTCATCCCCCACGAAATTGAGACCTTGGCGTCATGACCCAAGTACTGTACTCTTCAGTTTCTTCTCATCTGAGCGTTTTCATGGTTCTGTTCCTTGTTGGCATTTTACAGGGAAAGGCACAGGCTCAACCCGATCAGCGATGTGACTCCAATGCCCCCTCAGTTGTCCGCCAGGAGCTGCAGCCTGAACGAAATGAGAAGGTCCTTGAGGCACCGAGGGTACTGGGTGAGTCTGGGGCCATTGAAATGAGATCCTTTCGAGACCCCAAGTCTGCCTTTTTGGTGTGCCATTTATTCGAACAACTGCTATATACACCTGCTAAACCTAAAACCCAGGAGTTCTTAGCGCGAAACTGAATAGCCAGTTATTTGCAATGTGCCCTAGAAGGTCGGAGGGGAAGGTGCGTTCGAAGCTGTTGACCTAGTACCAGCCCATTCAGAAGCGTTTAAACCCATTCAAACCTATCCTGAAAAGGCAACATTTTAGTTTAGCCATACACCTTCGTTCAAAACACGTTCAGAATGAGTTCGCTGCCCGTTCCCGTATACAAAAATGTTGTCTTTTGTTTGTTTGGAAGTTGCCCTAAGAATATGCATTAAGACCTAACTTTTTGTTGTTCGTACTAGATACTAGGTGAAATGAAGCCGAATAACAAGTTACTTTATTTGCGCTGTAGGATTTTCTAGGTTGTACGTTTAACAGGTCACTATATTCAGGCGAGTTGGAAAGTACAATAGAGGGATCAGCACAAGGCCTGATTTCGAGCTTTTCCAGCCATTCGAGGCTGACAAAACGCAGCCAAACACCACGACTTCACAGGAGCCTTGCGAGCCTTGGGACCTGGTCCGGAAACTTACATCGAGCAGTCCGAACTCTGGACAACTTTGAAACAGAGTGTGAAACCCCAATTGATGAGTATTTGTGAAGTAAAGTTTTTGTGTCTTTTCAGGGCTTGGATTACAATTGATTGCCCATACAAGAACTGATGGCAATCTAGCAAGTTTTGAAGCATCGATCATGTTTGTTGACTACAGGAGCCCACAGAAATGCCAGAAAATGGCCAGGCTGCAGAAGCAGCCGAGGCTCCGGGTCCGGTTTTCTTTCCGCTTCCCCATTCCCAAGCCTTGCATGGTGGAAACCTTGCCAAGTTTCAAATGCGGTTACATTCATTCATACATTTTCATTTGTTTCCATCTGTTTCCATTTGTTTCCATCCGGATCCATTCCGTTTGTTCCCATCGGTTTCAGAGTTCCCATCCCCATTTATTTCCAACCATTTCTCATCATCTTCACCTATGGTTTTGGTTGTGGAAAGAGAAAGATTCACCCAGTTGTCGCACTCACATTAAATCGGCCTCTGTCACAGGAAGCCCACGAGCCTCAAGAGGTTGGAGGGGATGGGAGGGTCTTGGTGAGTACCGTACTGCCGGATTTCTCGATATGTGTATATATATATATATACAATATATATATATAGAGTATATATATATATATTGTATATATATATACAATATATAGAGTATATATAGAGTATATATAGAGTATATATAGAGTAGATATATAGAGTATATATATAGAGTATATATAGAGTATATATAGAGTATATATAGAGTATATATAGAGTATATATAGAGTATATATAGAGTATATATAGAGTATATATAGAGTATATATAGAGTATATATAGAGTATATATAGAGTATATATAGAGTATATATATATACACAATATATATATATATATATAGATATATATATATAGAGTATATATATAGAGTATATATATAGAGTATATATATAGAGTATATATATAGAGTATATATATAGAGTATATATATAGAGTATATATATATAGAGTATAGATATATATAGAGTATATATAGAGTATATATAGGGTATATATAGAGTATATATAGAGTATATATAGAGTATATATAGAGTATATATAGAGTATATATATATACATACATACATATGTAGTCTAATGTCTTGGGACACTTTTTGGGTCACTTTTGTTTTTTTGTCCGTTTCAGAAAGACACATTCTCAAGAAACCTGAAATCACGCTTTCGAAGCTGAACTAAACTTCCACATTGACGATTGAGCCTACGGGTGGACAACCGAACGTGTAGTTGTCACTATTTTTAATTGTCTGACATCTCGGGGTGGGGTGGGGTGGGGTGAGGTGGGGTATTAACGTCCTTGGTAGTAAGAACTTCCAACTACGTTATTGACTTTTTAACACCTTGCACGTGGTGGGGTGGGGTGGGGTTGGGGTATTCACGTCCTTCTCCAACATCTTGCACGGGGTGGGGTGGGGTGGGGTTGGGTATTAACTTCCTTTGCAGTAAGAGCTTCCAACTACCTTACTGACTTCTTTGACATTCCAACTATGTTGTTATCTTCTCTTTCAATTTCCAACTACGTTAGCATCCCTTGTAAGACATCTTCCAAGTACGTTGTTATCTTCTCTATCAACTTCCAACTAAGTTAGCATCTCTTGTAAGCTATCTTTCCACTATGTTGTTATCTTCTCTATCAATTTCCAACTACGTTAGCATCCCGTGTAAGACATCTTCCAAGTACGTTGTTATCTTCTCTATCAACTTCCAACTACGTTAGCATCTCTTGTAAGCTATCTTTCCGGAAAGCCCCTCGTCTGTGACGCGGAAATCTTCCTCATCTGTGACGCGGACGCGTTTCCTCAACTGTGACGCGGTCCCTCGGTTGTGACGCGAGGTGGGGTTTTGCGTGGCAGGCGTGGCACTTTGTGCCATCGATGGTCTCCTTGTGTGGCGCGTGTTGGGCCTGGTGACATCGACTTTGCGTTTCTGTGGTTTTCCCAATGCGGGCTTGCCCAGCTGTTCTGCTCCTTTTTCCCGTGGCTCTGCTTCTGTGCTCCTTTCTCCGTCTGGTGCTCCGTTTTGCCCGCTCAGCTGCCCAAGTCCATCAAAACGGACCATCCTAGCTCGTCTGCTCTTCATCTGCTTAGCTGTGCTCCTTGCTCTTTCTGGCTGTCCGTTTTGGCCGCTCAGCGGCCCAAATCCTTCAAAACGGACCTCCCAGCTCTCCCAGTCCTGCTTTGCTTGGCGGTGCTCCTTGCTGTTTCTGGTGGCCCGCCTTGGTAAGAGAGCCGCCGAAATTCTTCAAAGCGGGCTTGCCCAGCTGTTCTTTTGTTTTGTGTCCTCCTTTCTCCTGTGGCTGTGCTTCTGTGCTCCTTTCTCTCTCTGGTACTCCGTTTTGTCCGCTGAGCGGCCCAAATCCTCCAAAACGGACCGCCCCAGCTTCCACTCTTGGTCTGCTCGCCTGCGCTCCTTGCTCTGTCGGGTGGTCCGTTTTGGCCTCTTAGCCGCCCAAATCCTTCAAAACGGACCTCCCCTGCTCTTCCACGGATTATAACGTCCATGTTCCTGTACACACACAGGCACGGCAACCTCATCACACGAGAGCTGGCGGTGGGTCTCTTTTCCTTTCTCTCCCTGGTGCTCCATTTTGTCCACTGAGCGGATCAAATGCTCCAAAGCGGACCTCGCCATCTTGGTTTGCTTGGCTGTGCTCCTTGCGCTCCCTGCGGTGGCTCGTTTTGGCCGCTCAGCAGCCCAAATCCTCCAAAACGGACCTCGCCAGCTCGGTCTGTTTGGCTGTGCTCCTTGCTCCCTCTGGTGGTCCGTGTTGGCCGCTCAGCAGCCCAAATCCTCCAAAACGGACCTCGCCAGCTTGGTCTGCTTGGCTGTGCTCCTTGCTCTCCCTCTGGTGGGCCGTTTTGGCCTCTCAGCAGCCCAAATCTTTCAAAACGGACCTTGCTCTCCCTCTGGTGGTCCGTTTGAGCCGCTCAGCAGCCCAAATCCTTCAAAACGGACCTGCCCAACTCTTCCACTAGCTGTGGGTGCAGGGCAGGGTCGAACCTTCAATCTTCAGGTTAAGGGCCTTGCCCTCTGCCGACTCAGCTACACATCCCTGGCAGGAAACGATCTGAAAATTTTGGCAGAAAACCAGTATATCCAGACAGGATCTCACAGAAAGCAACCGCCGCAAGCAGACAGCCAGGAAAAGAGGTACAACCTCTGTGTCCACTGAGGCCGGTGAAAAAGTCGAAGGTCTCTGTCCCTGTCTCTCCCTGGTGCAAATCCTCCAAAACGGACCTCGCCAGCTTGGTCTGCTGGGCTGTGCTCCTTGCTCTTCGTCTGGTGGTCCGTTTTGGCCGCTCAGCAGCCCAAATCCGTCAACACGGACCTCCCCTGCTCTTCCAACCTCATCGGTCTCTGTCCCTTTCTCTACCTGGTGCTCCGTTTTGTCCACTTAGCGGCCCAAATCATCCAAAACGGACCTCGCCAGCTCGGTCTGCTTGGCTGTGGTCCGTTTTGGCCGCTCAGCAGCCCAAATCCTCCAAAACGGACCTCGCCAGCTCGGTCTGTTTGGCTGTGCTCCTTGCTCTCCCTCTGGTGGTCCGTTTTGGCCGCTCAGCAGCCCAAATCCTTCAAAACGGACCTCGCCAGCTTGGTCTGCTTGGCTGTGCTCCTTGCTCTCCCTCTGGTGGTCCGTTTTGCCCGCTCAGCAGCCTAAATCCTTCAAAACGGACCTCCCCAACTCTTCCACGAGCTTTGGGTGCAGGGCAGGGTCAAACCTTCGATCTTCAGGTTAAGGGCCTTGCCCTCTGCCGACTGAGCTAGACATCCCTGGCACACAGGAAATGATCTGAAAATTTTGGCAGAAAACCGGTGTATCCAGACAGGATCTCACAGAAAGCAACCGCCACAAGCAGACAGCCAAAAAAAGAGAGAGCAGACACAGGTACAACCTCTGTGTCCAGTGGGGCCGGTGAAGAAGTCGAAGGTCTCTGTCCCTGTCTCTCCCATGGTGCTCCGTTTTGTCCGCTGAGCGGCCCAAATCCTCCAAAACGGACCTCGCCAGCTTGGTCTGCTTGGCTGCGTCAAAACGGACCTCCCCTGCTCTTCCAACCTCATCGGCCTCTGTCCCTTTCTCTCCCTGGTGCTCCGTTTTGTCCACTTAGTGGCCCAAATCCTCCAAAACGGACCTCGCCAGCTTGGTCTGCTTGGGTGTGCTCCTTGCTCTCTCCCTGGTGGTCCGTTTTGGCCGCTCAGCAGCCCAAATCCTCCAAAACGGACCTCGCCAGCTTGGTCAGCTTGGCTGTGCTCCTTGCTCTCCCTCCCTCTGGTGGTCCGTTTTGGCCGCTCAGCAGCCCAAATCCTCCAAAATGGACCTCCTCTCTGCTCTTGATCTGCTTTCCTGTGTTTGCTCTTGCGCTGGTGTTCCGTTTTGATCATTAGCAGCCCGAATCCATCAGAGCGGACCTCCCTACCTCATCTGCGCTTGATATGCTTAGCTGTGCTCCTTGCTCTTTCTGGCGGTCCGTTTTGGCCGCTCAGCGGCCCAAACCCATCAAAACGGGCCTCCCCAGCTCTTCTGCTGTTGTCTGAGCGGACTACATGATTGAAAACGGGCTCTTCCCCAGCTGTTCTTTGTTTTTGTGTTTCTTTTCTCTCCCTATCCATCCACCCACCCATCCATCCATCCATCCATCCATCCATCCATCCATCCATCCACTTGTCTATCTATCTATCTATCTATGTATCTATCTATCTATCTATCTATCTAACTATCTACCTATCTATCTAACTATCTATCTATCTATCTATCTATCTATGTATCTATCTATCTATCTATCTATCTATCTATGTATCTATCTATCTATCTATCTATCTACCTATCTATCTATCTATCTATCTACCTATCTATCTATCTATCTACCTTATCTTATCTTATCTTACCTTATCTCATCTTATCTTATCTATCTATCTTATCTTATCTTATCTTATCTTGTGTTATCTTATCTTATCTTATCTTACTACCTATCTATTTATCTATCTATCTACCTATCTATCTATCTATCTATCTAACTATCTATCTATCTATCTATCTAACTATCTATCTATCTATCTATCTATCGATCGATCGATCGATCTATCTATCTATCTATCAATCATTTTCTGTATGCCAGGGATGTCTAGCTCAGTCGGTAGAGGGAAAGGCCCTTAATCTGAAGATTGAGGCTCGAGCCCGCCCTGCACCCGCAGTCAGTGGAAGAGTTGGGGAGGATTTGGGCTGCTGAGCGGCCAAAACGGACCACCAGAGGGAGAGCAGGGAGCACAGCCAAGCAGACCAAGCTGGCGAGGTCCGTTTCGGAGTATTTGGGCTGCTGAGCGGCCAAATTGGACCATCAGAGGGAGAGCAAGGAGCCTAGCCAAGCTGACCAAGCTGGCGAGGTCCGTTTTGGAGGATTTGGGCTGCTGAGCGGCCAAAACGGACCACCAGGGAGAGAGCAAGGAGCACACCCAAGCAGACCAAGCTGGCGAGGTCCGTCTTGGAGG